TAAATTGTACCAAAGCATCAAGCAATTTCTCTAACATGATGAAAATAGTATAAAGCAAAAGGAAGAAGCTAAAACTTTGTCATAAGCAAACCATCATATAATGAACGAGCTATAACTGCAAACCAAGGTAGCACACCTGAGAATTTCTGGCATAGCTCTCTAGAGATTTTTTCAAAGGTGAAAACAACCAATAAAAACATTAGAAATTGACATGATCCGAAGATTATTATACAAATGGAAAAAAAGGAATCAGTGATCAAATCTTTAATTAAATTAAGCAGTTATTATGATAATTTAAAGTAAGGCTCAGGTCTATTGGCAAAAGTCAGGCAGAGATGAGAGTACCGCCATGGCTGCAGACCCAATTGCATTTCAAGGGGAGAATGAAAGCCAAATGCCATCAGGGTTGCCTCGCCAAGATATGGCAATCAATTTAAAACCATAAATACATCTAAAGAAACCAAAATTATATCATCATAGCCCAATTGGAAATAAAATAAATTAGTCTATTTATAGCTTTCATTGCTGTAATACTCCAGCCAGAAAGTTACACCCTTTTCCAAAAAAATTACCATCCATCCCTGTAATAACCTAGCAAGAAACAAAAGGAAACACAAAGAAATAGTCAGATCAAAAGGAAAATTAAGAGCAAATTGCTCATGAATAGACACATTTATGCAAAAAAAAAAAATGAAAGGATAAACCAATATACACCATTCAAGAAATGTCAAACTGAGAAATTCTTGACAACATTAGTTCAGATTACAAAAAAAACTTAAAATTTGAATGGCCCTGCAAATTGTCAAAATCTTAAAGCAAAAAAGTGACTATTGAACTCCCTTTGCACCTCTAAATAAGTCTTTAGAATTACTGACATGAAATTGACTTTCTCACATCTTAGTTATGTTTGTCCTATAGAACCCATCTAAACTTTGGAATTCTAGGTTAAAGAAATGCATCAGAGAATTATTACTGGCCATAAAAATATTAGTACTAACTGCTATACATTCGTACTTATATGAAAATTAATCATGAAAAGTGTAAGAGAAAATGGTAGCATAGACATAAAATGATAGGAAATTTCACTGATGAAGAGCTATGCTTTATCTATCTTATTTTGGTTGCCTAGAGTTCAGAGGTTCAAGATCTTCCAAAAAATTCTGAGAAGACTGTCTCAAATTGGTACTTTCCATTCATAAGGAAAACATTCACAGAGCAACAAGCTTTAAAAAAGTTATGGAAAAAATGATATTCTGTAAAATGAAAAGAAAAAAGAAAGCCATGACCTCTAGTGGTAATGTCTTTCACAACACAATAAGTCTATGATTTGGTAAAACTCATTGAGTTCTTTGTATAATACAATAGCACCAAAAATTTGAAGTGTTTTTCGCAACATGATCATAGTCTGTACAAAGAAAAAAGGGGAAAAAATCTCAAAGCTGTTTCAAAAATAAATACCGTACATATATGAGACAATTCAAACGGTATCCACCATTCAAAAATAATGTATTAGCAGCATGCAAATAATGAAGGACCTAACGCTAAAATTAAAGAACAACCCTATCCAATAGTGACCACCCTTCAATCCAAAAGCCGAAAAAAAGGAAAAATATAGCATTGTTAACTTGAAAATTTTACTATTCCATGAACTGGTTTTAGAATGATTGAATCTTGATTTGTTCACGCCTTTAATGTAGTGATGTATGTTAATAACATAACAAAAAGTACGGAAAAAAAGATAATTTAAGAAAATGGGATCTGAATGCAAACGAATCCTAACATCTTCTTGTTATTTCAGCTGCAAAAAATTAACTATACCTTTTCAACAAATGAAGAAACTAGAAAGACCAACAGATCATATCAAATTTTTTATTGGCTACAAAGATAGAAACCATTTTAGGGACCAGTAAATCTACTATAATTTAGACTATTCGCAAAATGTTATCCCCATTAGACGATTAGAAGCCAATCTTAGCTTCTCAGAACCAAATCAACAGGAATTTTATTTAAAAAAATTGGAATTTTTGTAAACTAAAATAAATAAATGATGTTCTCGTAAAAGAAAAGGGAAAGGCAAGATCTGAAGAGGTATTGAAAACAAGTATCTAAATTAGTATGGCTCTATCATCACTTACAGTGCTATTAGCTGTTTGTCAAAGAAACCCCAAAAACTAAGAAGGCACCAAATATTTTCTTGTTAAGGATTCAAATACCGAAAACCTGAAAAAAAAAACCAAATATTTTCTTGTTAAGGATTCAAATACCGAAAACCTGGAAAATTACAACCAAAACTTAATTTACCAAAATAAAAACATGAAATCTACAAACTTTTCCCACCTGCAATCACAAAAAAAAAAAGGTCAAGTTCAGATCAGATAAGTAAAAGGAGAAAACAACATGAACAGAAAATTTAATGAAAGAAAAATCTCAAAATGTTCAGATTCAATAGCTAAAAGGATTTCAGATTTGTCTCTATCACTTGCTTATCACATGCATAGATAGAAAAATGGTGAAAAGAAGAAGAGGTTTTTGACCCAAAAAAAATTTAATAAGAGAGAAAAAGAGGAGAGGAAGACGACCAAGCAGATGCAGAAACATCTGAAGGCCTTTTATCTTGCAATGTAAAAAAAAATAAACAACATTAGTTTGCTCAAAAAGCTACAACTAAACTCCTCATCTCGCTCAAAAAAAGGGAAAAAATTAAATAGCTAGATTATTTTTGGCAGAGGAAGAAAGAAGCTCGGAGCAAATTATTTTTTTCTTCTCACCAAGACAGATAGAAGATAAGAAGATGAAGATGATGTTGAAAAAAAAAAGATGGAAGAATGAAGAGTGAGATGATGATCATGAAGAAGGAAAAGATCAGGGGCGTCTCGGTGATGCTGAAGAGTGAGGGACCATGGACTGAGAGGAGAGGAAAGGACGGTTCAGAATTCTGAAGCATGGAGTAATCAATTCTTACCAAACCCACATGGGTTTCTTTATGAAGCAAAGAAAGGAAAAAGAAAATAAAGGTGCGAAAGTGGGTTGAAGGAAAAGGACAATTACTATTATCATTACTCTCTTTAGTGGGTTGCATGGAAGCAAACACAGTCGGTGGCTCACAAACGCAATTCACAGCCCAATTGCAAGCAGCAGGTCACGTGAACGGCGCATGGAGGACGACAACTTTTCAGCAAATCACCAATTGACATGTCAGCAAAAACACACACCTTCGGACAAGTTCCTAAGCACTTAGTCTACCTTAGGTTGATTAGGTTGATGAAAAGGACGGACCGTGTGTATTTGCCAAAAAAAAATTGATAAAAAAAAAAGTTAAAAAAGGACGGACCCGTTAAAAGCAGAACTCCAAGCTAACAGAGCTGAGACTGGAAAAATGTGAAGCATTTATCAATTAGTATCATGGACAAAGAGAAACAAGTAACGCAAATGACGTTTTCTCTACTTCAAATATATGTGTTATGAGCTAATTTATAAATCATTTACACATTTTTTTATTTTTTTAATTTAGACGTCCAAATCGATGGTTTGCCAACTAAAAAGATACAACATGATAAAATTTATATGTAAAATTGTTTGTATTATTTTTAAGTCACTGCAAAAGGTATTCTCACGGTTATGAATTATTGCAAGTTTTTTTTTAAGAGTAGTGTAAACGATTCATAATTTTAAGTAATTTAACATTTTTTGTCCGAACAAATGACACAAAAATTATTAAAGAGTTTTTTTTTATGTTGTTACCAACTCTTAGACTTTCATTAAAGAACTACATCAATCAATTTACAAAAGATAAGCAACAATTTTGGTGTGTTATGACAATTAAAAAATCGCAAGAAAGGACAAATTTGGAATGAAATTGTACTCTCTCTCTCTCTCTCTCTCTCTCTCTCTCAAAATGAGTTTTTTAATATTATATTTTGAAATGGATTTCAAATGTTACAAAAAGTTTAAAACAAAAGAGCCAAATGAGATTTTTTAAAGTCTGAGGGCACGGAGTGAAATTGTCAGGTTTCTGAAATTATCCTTTTTAATTTGCTGATTGCCTGGTTATTGAGAAACTTTTTTTCTTTTTGGTAAGTATTGCGAAACTAGTTGGAATGTTAAAAAAGATTTCTACCTTCGTTCGGAACGATGTCGTCTGGGAATTTTTGTCTCAGTGGATCATTCCACAAGTTGTTGAATAGCCGTGGATTAACATTTCAATGAGCCCACAAGGGACCAATTCAGTGACTTCTAATAGTTCGAGGTATAATTATGCAATTTATTGTTGCTACTCAACTCTAAATTCGTATAACTCTTTTATTTTGTGAAACAAAAGGTCACATAGATATAGTGGGGGAAGGGGGATTTGGAACCCAATGCAACCACATTACTTGAAACCTGTAATAGACACACTGACCTATCTATCAAGAAGCTTTTGAGTGTTTGGAGCATTATAGCATCTATAATAGTTGATATGCGTTGCATCAGGTGCATATCTTCCGGTCTGTATTGCTTAGTGGTCCGCTTCAATTTAAGATGTCACTATGAAATTGCAGGGTTTGGGGTAGCTATGGTTAGCAATAGGTGCCGTTAGTCAGGGGCGGATTTAAGGTGGGGCAAGTGGTGGCTCCTTAAATTCTTATAATACCTGTAGAATTTTGATACAATTTCAAGCCCCAGAGGTTTTTTTTACGAAGGAAGTGAAAGAATTACGTGGTACTCGAAATTGGTTTACGAACTAATATTCTAAAAGGATATATAGACCATAAAGTTCCATTTGAAATAAACTAAAAAAAAGGTTTTTCATTTCAACTTGTTGATGAATATTTTTTTTTTACTTAAAAATTACAAAAACAATAGGTAAAAAATTTTAGTGTTACTTTTACCCCCATTGAAAATTTTTTCTGGCTCCGCCACCGCGGTTAGTGCGATTGTTTTACTTTTTTTTAATGATTTGATGTACATCCACACAACTTTGATGTATTTTAAAACATTTATTTTTTACTATGTTAAAAAGTATTGGTATTGTAAGTTGCATACACTTTTTGATCTTAGTTTTATTGTGCCCATATTATCTCTATCTTTCAATTAGAATTATTGCATTCTAATTGTAGTAGTAATTAAAAATATGAAACATTCAAAATAACTAAATCTCAATAATAATGGTAATTAAAATGAAAAGCTCCCTATTAAAACTATTTAGTGATCCTTACACTTCATCTCCAATCCTTATGTGTGTCAAAGTTTCTTAGCCAAAATAATATCTTATTGAAATAGTGTGACTGGTTGCATTAGCCACAATTTTAAGATTGTAAAAAATATTTGTATCAAAAAATAGATGCTCTTGGAGCAAAAGAGAGATATATAAGAAGCAAAGAGTCCATAATCATTTGGAGAATCTTGACATGAATATCAAAATACAGATGTATAATTATGGGCTTTTTATCGGTATGAAGAAATACTGAAAGAAAATAACAAATAAAAGAATCCAATTATTTCTATCAATTGAATGTCCATTGGCAATTAAATAGACAGTCTAAGATAATTAAGCAATATAAATCATTTACATTCTTTACTAACCTTAATAATACTTAGGAAAAAAATGTAAACAATCCAAATTCAATAATGCACCTCACATTATTCAATTCGAATTCACAAAAGAAAAAATTGAAAAGTTCAGTTAAAAATATAAAGTAGGATAATTAAATGTTCATATGAAGTTGGGCATAAGCACAGCTCATATATTTTATTCTTAAATAATTAATTCATTCTAATTGTACAATTGCATTTTGTTTGTCTTACCAGGGAAAAAATAACATTCAAAATGTTATGGCAAATAGCATTCAAAATGTTGATACAAATTTTTTCATTTTTTAAAGTTGTTGATTTCATTAGAAACTTAACTATGGGTTTTATTTTTAAGTGAAAAAAAGGCGCATCTAGATTGTGGCTAGTAAATGAACTTTCCAAGAGGTAAAAGAAGCGATGAGTTTGGTGAAAATAATTAGAATGACAAAACCTAACAAGCCAATTTATTTACTCTGACACACTTCTGGAAATTGATTTTACGGTTTTAGTCTTTACTTTGCTAATAATTATGAATTTTATTTACTGGGCTCACACTTGACATATATACATGCATTTCCTGTTTAACAACATCTTTTGTACAATATTAAAAAATATTATTATGATTTAATGGTATAAATAGTATGAGTACACATCATAACCATATTAAGAACTGTTTATCAAAATTGAATCCATAAATTACCAAAAAGCTCAAAATAAATTCAAAAATCAATGGATCAAAGAGTTCGTATTTAGATAGTCTTTGTAACAATAATTGATTAAAGAAATAGAAAATAGAAAATATTCTATTATCATGTAAACAATCAAATTTCACAAAAAAAAAAGTTTATATATAAGAGATGTTATATTTAGGTTAATATAATTACATGCAAAGTACGTGAACTATTACTAGCACAATAAAAAGTTATATAAATGTACATCAAATCATGAAATACATCAAAATTATTTAAGTGTACACTAAATCATTAAAAAGGTAAAACAACCGCACCTATTGCTAATTGTAGCTGCCCCATTCCCGAAATTGCTAACCTTATGGAATTGTGCATTTGTGACCAATTTTGGTTTCTCGGTGACCATTTACGCCAAATAGGTCTAATCTTGATATCTGAATTTCAGGTGCTTTTTCAAGTTTGAAAGTATCTTGGAAGCATCTCGGGTGCTAATATCTTGGAAACATTATAGGAGGTAGAGAAAGAAGTTAACTTCTAAATTAAAGAGTCGCACTACTATTTTAAAAGGGTTTGAATTCTTAACCTATTGTCAGAATTACATATTTGTTTATTGCTTTGTGGCCAAATCACCTAAGAGGATTTGGTTTGCACACGATTTTTTTCGATGGGCATTTATTGTTAAAACTATCAGTTAGTATTATGTAAGTGCAGTTGTTCCCGTGTAGGGAATAAAATCATACACAAAATACAATTACATCTCAGCTTTAGTATACAAATTTGTTGACCGTATAGTTTTGCGTAAAGGGAATGCTTCAGGCTTTATCATCCACTTCCTTCTACGTATCAATAAACAACGTAGCAGTTTTTAATGACAGAATGTCAATAGGTTTTGCACCCTAAACAAAAGCGTGTCAAGGTAGTGTAGGAAATACTCTAAGATGATCGTCCAAGTCAAATCACTTTATCTCCTCCTTCTTAGGTCTCAATTATTGTCACAACAAACCAAGCCGCCAACATAAATGCACTTAGTAACCAAGTTTAATCTAACTATTCGCGAGTTTTTTGGTCAAAATTTAAACTCGATTTCAAGCAGATCGAATAGTTTGAGAAGTTCAAACTCTATATGTGAGATTCAAAAGTTCGTTAAGAATAATCGAACTCAATACATGTTCAAGTATAACAATGCATCTTAACTTGTATTCTAATATTTACTATTTGCGCAAAGGGAATGTTTCAGGCTTTATCATCCACTTCCTTCTACATATCAAAAGACAACGTAATAGTTTTTCTGACAGTTTCACTCCCCTCCCCTGTGGTTTCTGAAATTCCACAAACCTCCCCTAAAACTAAATAGGGGATGCCAAAATAGACCCAATTTCAAAATACAAACAATAAAAAATTAGTAGCTGGAGAGAGAAACAAGTGTATTCCACAAATGCCCTCATTATCTTGGGTTAGAGAGCTAATGCAATGTGAAGAAAAATGAGGGAATTTAAGAAGAATGAAACTTGAGGGGGTGTAAGTGAGACCAATCAACAGAGAAGCTTACAATGAGGAGTTGTGAACAAATGCAATGCAACGGCTCTTTCTGGCAGCCAGTTCTAACGTCTACATGCAACGGCCAACTCCGAAGGCTATTTATCAGAGTAAAATGCAGCAGCCACAGATGCAACAAACAACAACAGGCAAATGTTAATCTGTGAGATGCAACTAAAA